GACGGGGAGCGCCCGCTCCGGCTGGCCGCGGGGTTCGCTCCCCAAAGGCGGTTCTCCGCGGCCGAGGTTGCCGTTGTGCTTTCGGATCAGGGCTGGGGCTGTTGGTGCCCGGGTATCTCTCAGTTGGGCGGGTTCCGAGGGGTGCTCGATTCCTGAAAGAGCTTTGCTTGATCTCAGGGTGGGTATAAAGACGAAATTTCAGCTAAAAAAGAATAAAATCCCTTCTGCTGCTCTGCTGGCATTGATCTCATCATACCCTGCTTGCACAGCTGTGTCAGGAGCAGCATACAGCCTCCCAGCTTCTTGGGGTGGGTGTCTGTCTGAGCTGGTACTCTCATCAGGTTACCAAACACCCTTAAAGCCAAAAACAAGAGCAGAGAAGTTGAAATGCAGTATTGTGCCCCTATAGGATGCATGTAAGGTATGGAGAGAGAAGATAGCTGACAGTAGCTTGTGAGAAGAGAATGTGGTAGTGGTGACTGATGTAGTTTGAAAGTTTTTTGGTGTAGATATGGTAAAAATTTTAACTAATTCTCAAAGGAGGGAGGTTTTGTTTCAGTGTGTCTCACTTGTGTCTTGTGTTGGTGCTTTTCAGCATGGTCTAGTTTCTTCTGCAGAGTAATACGAAGAGTCTAGACAGTGTAATTCAATTATTGGTTAATGATACCAGTGCATAGAAAGAATCCACAGCTGACTTAGGTTAAGGAGAAAACTAATGATGCCTGTGTTGCCTTACCTTTCACCTTAAAATGACTGAATGCTGGGCAGTAAGTGTAAAGAGATTTCCTGTTTGATACAAACAACATTCATGTATCAAAAATGGGTAACAAAAACTTCCTAAGCATATATTTATTTAGGGTTAATAATGATGTCTGAGCAGTTGTTACAGGCTCTTGAATAAAATAAGTCTAAGAAGCAGGTGTTAAATTATCGGGCAAGGGTTGTGGTAGCAACTGTGTTAAGTCCTTTTAGTCATCGTGCATCCTGCTGCTGCTGTGACCCCCTGAAAAGACCATAGTCATATAATGAAGCAATCTGAATTCTGACAGACCCTTTTGGTTCATTGTTTTATTTTTCTGTTATTTGTACATGGCTGTTTTTAAATCTATTAAGTATAAAACAAGGTCATCAGTTTTTAAGACTACATGAAGAATTAGAGTAATGTTTCTGCAACTGACAACTTTCCCTTAAGATGAGAAAAAATAATTTCCAGAAGTCCCGAGTTTTAAAACTTGGAGCAAGTAATTGGTTTTCAGAACGTATTTCTGAACAGTTAATTACTTCTGCCTAATAAACTAAGATAATTGTGCATAACTTGTTAATATTGACCTGTTTCTACTCTTTATTATTGAAAAGTAGAAAATGAGCCTTAGTTTGATGATAGTTTAATGGTTGTCCTGGAAGCCTGATGACACAACAGACAGGCTCCAAGCGCACGGTGTTATCTGTGAGCGCAGCCACGTGCCGGGGCTACCGGTGTCTTGGCTGGACGTCAGGGA